GAAGCAATTGTGATTTTTTTTAAAAATTGTCTTGTTTTCCATTTTTTGCTGTGGCTTCGTCGTCACTGTCCTAATGAACTTTCATTTACTGCCATTCTCTGGTGTGACAAGATGAGTCCTGATCATGGATAGTGTAACCAGTGACATTTGTATTAACCTGTCCATCCAACTTCAATTTATTTTAACACTTTAAAATAATGTTTGAGTAGGATGTGTGTAAAATTAAACACTCCTTGAAGCACACAGAACTCAGCAGGAAACTTGGGGAGGTATGCCTGCTCCCCCTTGAGGATCATACCAGACAAGAATCAAATGGCCCTATTCAATCTGCAGCTGCCGGGTGAGATTGCAATGTTGCTGGGTGCCCTGTTTTGGATGTCAATATGTGACCAGCAGTCAGTTGTTCACCTCCCATGACTATTGTTTGGAAATCTGTTTCCCATGTCACAGTTTTTATTTAAATTTTTGAATTATAATTGATATTCCCAGACACTTGGTCTTCCTGTTTTTGAAAGGAATAATAAGAAGGTCATAGGCTTCTTGGAAAAGAAGTTTAAATGTAATGAAGGACTGTGAGGGATCTAGCTATGCAGACGCACCAATCAACAAAATGTCATGTTGCAGAGTTTTAAACAACAACAGATAGAACCTGCATTTATTCTAGTTAAGTAGAAATTGTTAAATTTGTATCAAGCTTTGATTAGATCATGTAGTTTGATATCTGTTATTAAAAGATATAGAGGCACGAGAAAAGATACAAAAGAGATTTGCAAGGGTGTTGCAGAAAAGAGAGGTCCTGCATATCAGGAAAGATTCAACAGGTGGTGGCTCAGTCCCTAGAAGAGAAAAGAATGAATAATGACTAGACAGAAGGCTTTAAAACCTCTGGTGGCACAACGATAACGTTCCTACCCCAGGACTGGCCTGGGATCAAGTCCCACCTGCTCCAGAAGTGTGTAATAACATCCCTGAACAGGTTGATTAGAAAAACAGGTTAAATTTTTAAAAATACATAGAGAAGGTGAAGGAATGGTTTCTAAGGAAGCATTTCGCTAATGCATGATAAAAGGCTGGTTGACAAAATTGAAGTGTATTCAGGTTTTTGCAAAGATTCCTAGCTTGATTGTGAGTGAGGTTGTTGACTTGCTCACCGAGCTGTCTTGTTTTTGTTCAAACGTTTCATCACCATGCTGGGTAACATCATCAGTGAGGCCTCTGATGAAGCGATGTTGTTGTACTGCGCTTCATTGGAGGCTTCACTGATGATGTTACCTAGCATGGCGACGAAACATCTGAATGAAAACAAGCCAGCTCTACGAGCAAGTGAAGTGTATTCAATCAGAGAATCATTATCAGCTTGTGTTTTGGAAAAAACTGAGCTTAATAGAAGAAAGCAGCAAGCCTTGGCGAATGGTGGCTCTTTTTGTGGCACAGTGGATAGCACTGCTATCTCACAGCGCAAGGGACCCAAGTTCAATTCCAGCTTTGTGTGACTGTGTGGAGTTTGTACATTCTTCCTGCAGTCCAAGAATGTACAGGTTAGGTGGCTTGACCTAACTAAATTACCCTGTAGTATCCATATTAGGTGGTTAAGCCATGGGGTAAAGCACCATGCGGGGTTACGGGGTTGAGTGGGTGGGTTCAGGTGGAATGCCTTTCAGAGGTGCAGACACGATGAGCTTAAATGGTGTCCATCTGCAATGTAGTGATTCTGTGATTATAGAGAGAGCGCTCCTGAGCTGGTCATGGTCTGACTGCTTCTTTGTGTCTTGTACACAGCTCCAAACTGTTCAGCATGCTGAAAACCAATCTGCTAATTTTTGCCAAACAATACTCCATTTATGTGTAACCCTCTGGCTCTGGTTTGTCTGCAAGCTAAACTTCAATTACTGCTTGAACAAGTAACCATATAAATGCTTGCAATGAGTGTTTTGTTAATTCCTTTCAAACATGCAGCACCTCCAGCCATTCTTTACATAATTAAAAATGGAGAATAAGTTTAAAGAAAGCTGTTTACAAGACAGATACAAAATATCTGTTCAACTCGCTTACTATTTTCATTATTAATCCCCTAGAGGATCAATGCTCCCTTACATTTTCCTTTCTAAATACCTGTAGAAACGCTTGTGATCTATTTCATATTTCTAGCCAGCTTTCCCTTGTACTGTAATTTCTCCCAGCTTAGTAATCTTTTCATCACTCTTTGCTATTTTTATTCTGTTCAATTTTCAGAATTTCTCACTCATCTTTGTGGAATTAAATGCATTTCTTTCTTTTTGATATTATCCTCAACTTCCTTAGTTAGTGATGGAAAGTGTGTCGTTCCCTTAGAATCTTCCATTGAGTGTTCTGATTTATCCCACACAATGTAGCAAAAAGCCACTTTAAGCCTGAAGAAAGCCAGATTATCTTTCCTTCAGCAATTGTTGTAAACTGACTTTTAATTGTCAAGTCAGAGGTATTTTATAAGTGAACCATCCACCCCAGAGTGGAAAAATCAACTAAAGAGGGCACAGTTCAAGGTGAGAGGGGGAGACTTAAGGGGAGAAGTGTGGGGAAAATATTTCACAGAGTGGTGGGTTCCTGGAATGCGTTGCCAGTGAGGTGGTGGAAGCAAGCACATTCACAGTGTTTAAAGTGTATTTTGATAGACACATGAACAGGAGACAAACCAAGGGATAGATACCACATATAGGCAAACGGTAGCATAACTAAGGACTAGGAATTGGTGCGGGCATGGTGGGCCAAAGAGCCTCTATCTGTGTTGTATCGTATTGTGTTGGTGGGTAAATACTTGGGATAGGCCATTGAGGGAGTGCATCAGAAGTTCACCAAACTAATCCCTGGTCGAGCAGGATTACTTTATGAAAAGAGATTAAAGAAGCCGAATTTCAGAGAAGGTCAGAAATCATGCGACACCAGGTTATGGTCCGACAGGTTTATTTGAAAACACAAGCTTTTGGAGCCTCAGTCCTCCTTCAGGTGTTAATGAGTTAGGTAGTATCAGACACTGAATTTATAAGTAAAAGATCAAAGACTGAGGATGTACTAAACAAATAAAAGATGCTGTTGAATCTTTAATCAGTTAGAAGGTTTTAATTGATTAATTATGTATATGTAAATCCCCGAATTCCTTTCAAGTCACGGTTTTGAGAGAACTAAAGGTTTTATCAGTGTAAAGAAGAGGTGACATTTTAGGTCATACAGTATTGTTAGGTGTGGGACCTTGTTTAGAATCTGTTTGTGTTTTAGTTAGGTTTTGTTCCTAAAGTAGGAATTTATAAAATGCCATATTGACTGTCTACAAATTGTGTGCTTTTTGAGCAAAATAGAATGTATCCACAAATACAAATTCATCCCATGGATTCACGTCTGTGTGTGTGTGTGTGTGTGTGTGTGTGGGGTGGGGAATGGGAGAGGAATGAGAGGGTGTGCGTGGAGAGGGGAGGTAGGAGAGGGTGTGTGGGGTGGGGGTGGGAGAGGGTGTGCGCGCGTGTGTGTGGTGGGGAGGGGAAGAGTGAGATGGGGTTACCTGTAGTGCAACATGAACCCAAGATCCCAGTTGAGTCTGTCCTCATGGGTACCGAACTTGGCTATCAGCCTCTGCTTGGCGACTGTGCATTTTTGTGTATCACAGAGTCTGCCTTGTAGGATGTTTACCCGAAGATCCGAGGCTGAATGTCCTTGACCACTGAAGTGTTCCCTCACTGGAAGGGAATGTTGATGTTTGGCGATTGTCGCGCAGTGTCCATTCACCTGTTGTCGTAGCGTCAGCATGGTTTCACCAATGTACCATACCTCAAGGCATCCTTGCCTGCAGCGTATGAAATAAAATGCCATGTTGACTGTCTATAAGTTGTTGCTTTTTGAGCAAAATAAAATGTATCTGCAGATACGAGTCCACACCTATGGAGTCAATTTGTGTGTGTGGGCGGGTGGGATGACGGTGTGTGGGCGGGTGGGATGACGGTG